CTTGAGCCACAGCGCCACTTCCGGCTTTTTTCTTTTTGCTTATGTGGTGCTGAGGAATCGAACCCAGGGCCTCAGGCATGCAAGGCAAGCGCTCTACTACTGAGCCACCTTTCCAGCCCCTAAGCAGTCTTTTTGAACTGCAAGCATTGTGATATTTTTAGATGTTGAAAGCAAACCAACGAGCTTCAGGCACTTAATGATAAGGGGTTAACATTAGAAATATGTTTGTTTTTTTTAAGTAGAATCATATGATGTGAATTAGCAATATAAAAAAAGTAGTTTTGTTTGTGAAAAATGGTGGTACTGAGATGGGTAAGAATTAAGAAAACAGCAAGATTAGGAGAGTATGGGAGAAGTAGTGTATAAAAGAGAATATTTGAGGAGAAAGATCCCAAACCCATTTGGTCAATCTGCTTAGCTGTTCAGAGTTCTACTAGAGAAGAAGCTCATATTTAGCATAGCAATGGGGACTTGTGTGTACGAGAGAATGTTAGGAAAAGGGCCAAAGGGGAAAGGTCAGCTTATGCATCATGTTTTAATGCTTTATAAGCAGATGGGTTTGTGTTGCTACAAGCAGTTTACAAACATTTTAAAAAATAATGTATATTTTGGTCTTAATGGGTTACAAAATATGTACGTATTAAAAGACCACTGAAGTTTATTGCTGGTAGTTCAGGCCTGCTGAAATACTAGCTACTCAGGTAGTGGAGGTTAGGATTGGAAGAACAGAGGTTTCAGGCCAGTCCAGGCATAAATGAGAAATGCTACCTTAATGAATATCTAGACTTGATGACTCACACTGTAATCCTAGCTTAGGATAGATTACATTAGGTTCATGATCCTTACAAAGTGCTTCAGAATTACTGGCGTAGTCCTCTACTCAACCAGACATAGTACTTTGCACTTCCTGCACTATCTCAGCATGTACTAAATATATCAGTTTTGCCAAAAACGGTCATGACTTTTAATACTGTTTTCCCTCAGTCAGGATTGCCCTTAGCTTTTTGGAAAATTCATGGCCATTGTTCACAGGCTAGTTGTCCTGTGTCGCATCTCCCCTTCTCCTTCAACTAGAATATATTATCTTATCCCCTAAATCTGGCTGTATAGTTTAGGAATTTGGCTTACAACTTCTCTGCTTTACACATCTATCTCCACTCAACTCATTCATCTCCACAGCCTTAGCATATAGACAAGTATCTAACATGTATTCAACTAGCAAATACACATTTGATGAACTAGATTACCTTTGATAAACTTACAGTCTAATTAAAGTTTTGTCTTCAACTCATCAAATAACGGAATTGCACAAAACTGACTCAGCAGATCTATCCAACATTTTTACTTTATTAGTCCAAACCCAAATATTTCCTTCCTAGATGATTTCAAGCCTTCATTTTATATAATATAAAGAATTCTTCCATAATTCAATTTAACCAAGCAGTAAGGCAAAGAGAGGAAACTGCCTAGCTTTTACTTAATAATCTTGACCATTGAATTTTAAAATTCACTAGAATAAATCATGCCACCCCTTCACTGAAAAATGCTGGCCGACCAGCATTACTCAAGATGAGTAATAATTCTTTTACATAAATAAAAAAATGTGGCTATGAAATTTTTTCCTGGGAACATTAAAAAAAAAACTATCTAGAAAGTAGAGATTCCAGCCTTGGGCCAAAAAGCCAACCTAGAACACAAGGCCCTGGGTTTAAGCCCCAATACCAGCTTCAAACCTAACAAATAACGACAAACTTCTTATGAGATACTAAAAAGTTGTCCTTTTAACAGAGTATTTAAGAGTGTGTAGAGTGTGTAGAACTGTTATACTAGATAACATTTACAAGAAAGTTAACTCAGTAACACATAAGAACTGTAAGTTCTTAGTAACATGGAATTATATATGCGTATGCCCCTGTGTATATGCTGGACCTGAAGTTTGAACTTAAGAGCCTGGATGCTGTTTCTTGAGCATTTTGTTACTTGTTTGGGGGGGGGGGTCGTTTTTGTTTTATTTGCTGAAGGCTAGTGCTCTACAGCTTTAACCACAGTTCTACTTGAAGATTTTGGTGGTTAATTGGGTATGAGGCTCACAGACATTCCTGCCCAGGTTAGCCTTGAACACAATACCCAGCCTGCTGAATAACTAGGATTGTAGGCATGAACCACAGGTGCTAAGAAAAAAAAGTTAATATTGAAAACATGATACCCATAATGTTATTTAAGATATTAAAATGGCAACTCTCGAGGTATCACACAATTTTTCAGTAAAAGGAAGACTTAAACCTGATGGTTTCAAATCTTGTCTAATGATGGAATATTGCCAGCTAAAAGTGCTAAAAGTTTTGTAAAGAGTCAGGATTTATGTTAAATGGACACTATTAAAGTTGAAATTCTAAGAAAGATTTAGAAGTTTCTAAATATTTGTTTTACCTCTACTGATGCTGGTTTTAGAAAGAAAAACACAGAGAAACTACATTCTGCTTTCCTGGGTAAGAATTAACACACACCAATATGTATATTGTATTTTATCAATCAAAGCTATCACTGTTACATATTTCAATAATAAAAATTTAAAATGTCAACCAAACTATGCCCAGAAACTATAATATGCATATGGCCATCATTTTCTTTCAGTTTTCAAAGATGGTAATTGGGATGAGGGTTCTTATTTTTATCCCTGGTGGTACTAGAATTAAACACGGGGTCTTTATTGTGCTTATTAGACTGGAGTGCTCTGGAGCTATTCCCCCATTTGTTTTTGACTTTAGTATTTATCAAGTAGGGTACCATCTTTGTGCCCTGACCAGTCTAAGAATAAGATCCTCTACCCTGTTGGCTCAGGCCATGGATATGTGCCATCAGGCTAACCTATTTGGTAAAGGGGAGCTTGCTCACTAACTTTGTGCCTGAAATGGCCTCAAACCATGAACCTAATCTCTTCAGCCCAAATATCTGTGTTAAGACAAAGACAATCGCACCTGGTCAGAGATTCTTATAATTGATAAAATGTTATATCTTTCATAAGCTATATTCTTAACAAAGAATTAAGATTTAAGAATAAAACTTACATGTCACTTAAACTAAGTGTCCCTTCAACATTTTCTCCTGTTACTTTTTGCTTGCACAATGAGAAGGGGAATAAGTAAATTATTTCTTAACAAGTAAACAGATGTTAGAAAAAACTACTTCAGTTCTATACTTGCATAAAGCACATTTCAAAAATTTATTATTTATGGAAACATGCACCCTTTCTAATGTATCATCTTATAGCAAGGGTATCTAGAGGGCTGGGGAATGTGGCTTAGTGGCAGAAAAATAAAAGGTTTTGATAATTATTCAGTTCTTTACATAGAGGCTTCATTAATGCTAGCAATGCGTAATAAATTGATTTTTGCGGGCTGGGAAGATGGCTTAGTGGTAGAGTGCTTGAACTGTATGCATGAAGCCCTGGGTTCAATTCCTCAGTACTACATACACAAAAAAAGGTGGAAATGGCACTGTGGCTCAAGTGGTAGAGTGCTAGCTTTGAGCAAAAGAATCTCAGGGACAGTGCCCAGGCCCAGAGTTCAGGCCCCACAACCAGCAAAAAAAAAATAATATATATATTTTTTTGGCCAGTCCTGGGGCTTGAACTCAGGACCTAGGTGCTGTTCCTGAGATTCTTTTGTTCAAAGCTAGCACTCTACCATTTGAACCACAGTGCCACTTCCAACTCTTTCTGCTTATGAAGTGCTGAGGACTCGAACCCAGGGCCTCATGCACGCAAGGCAAGCACTCTATCATTGAATCACCTTCCCAGCCCCTCTAGAATATTTTTTAAAAACTAGAACTTAATGATTTGGAATTTGTTTGGGTTTTGTTGTTTTGTTTTTCCCAGTTCTGGGCACTACCCTAAGCTTTTTTCTCAAGAGTAACATTCTACCACTTGAGCTATAGCACTACTTCTGGCTTTTTCTGAGCAGTTTATTGAAGATAAGAGTCTCAGTCTCTGCCCATAAAAGAAATGCAAATAGAAGCGAGATTCCACCTCATCCCAGTTAGAATGGTGATTATCAAGGAAACTAATAATACAAATGTTGGCCATATGGTCATTATCAAGAAAACAAATAATAACAGATGCTGGTGGGATATGGCCAAAAGGGAACGCTACTACAATGTTGGTAAGAATGTAAACTTGTTCAACCACTGTTTCCTTTTCTTTTTTTCTTCAGCTGTGGGGCTTTAACTCTAAGTGTAGGAACTATCCCCGAGCTCTTGAGCTCAAGGTGAGCACTCTACCACTTGAGCCACAGCACTACTTCCTATTCAACCACTCTGGAAAACAATATGGCTAAACATAGAATTCCCCTATGACCCAGCAATCCCACTTCTGGGTATTTACCCAAATGGCTGCAAACAAGGCCACAGCAAAGCTACCAGCACAACAATGTTCAATGCAGCATTATTTACCATAGCTAAGAAATGAAATCAACCCAGGTGCCCCTCAGTAGATGAATGGATCAAAATGAATGGATCACAATCACAGTCACACATATACACACATACACACATAAACACACATACACACACACACACACACAGAGAAATTCTATGCTTCCATCAGAAAGAATAGCATTACCTCATTCATAAGGAAATGGAAAGACTTGGAAAAAATTAAGCAAGTAAGAGAGACCCAAAGAAATATAAGCTGCATGGTTTCCCTCATTTGTAATAACTAGAATATGTCTAGGATATTCTTAGCAGAGAATCACAATGGCTCAATAGCATGCAGATATGACTATATAAAACAATACTTATCGAAATGAACCCCAAGAAATGGAAGTAAGAGGTTTGTTGTTGTTTGTTTTTTAATTACACTGTTTGCAGTTCTTTTTTTTGTTTGTTTCCTTTGGTTTATTCCCTGTTGTCACTGTTTTTTATTTCTGTACCCTTTGTCTTGTATGTAAGTTTACCTGATTTGAGCAAGGGAAGGGGAAATCACAAAAACAGTGGGACAAAGGATGAACCAATGCAGTGATAATCATGAGACACTATGTTGGAAATGAACTTAAAGAAATATACTCATTACCTTACTTATGTAACTGTAACCCGCCTGTATATCACCTTTACGAGATATATATATATATTTTTTTTTTTTTTTAAAGTCTCATGGACTTTCCTACCAAGGCTGGCTTCGAACTGCATTCCTCAGATCTCAGTCCCCTGAGCAGTTAGGATTACAGATGTGAGCCACTGATGCCCAGCTCAAACTTAATGACTTGTGTAGGTGAAAAGTATGGCAGTCAACACTTAGGAAAAGCCAAACAACGACAGTACTGGGTGGTAGTTTATGGAGCCATGCTTATTCAAAGCTTACTTCAATCATACTAGTTACTTAAAAGACTGATATCAAGAGGATCATAGTCCTAGGCCAGTGTGGCCTAGGCAAAAAAACTCATTAGAACCCATTTCAACAAATAAAAAGCTAAGCATAATGGTGTTCCCCAGTCATCCCAATAATTAGGGAAACAGAAACAGAATAATCCTGGCAGAAGCTAACTCTGGGCAGAAAAAGACACTCAAAAATAACAAAAGCAAAATGTACTCGGAGCATGGTTCAAATGGTGGAGCATCTGCTCAACAAGCTTTAAGAACTTAAGTTCAAACCTAAGCACCACCAAAAAAAAGTGCTACAGTTTAAACTTCTTGCTATAAACATAGACGAGTATATAAGTGGATAGGAATGATAGGAAAAAATTATAAAAGATGGAGGACTAGAAGCATTCTGCATGCAAAGCACTAAACTAAGCAATCTTCCCTTCTTTAAATCTAAGAAACTTAGGATAAAAGCTTGATATCAGACCTGGAATGCCAAACAATTTGATCACCATTATTCTGCTTTTAAGCATTGGTACTAAGTTTCAAACCCAATTTCTTTTTTTTTTTTTTCCAATTTCTTTTTAAGAAACCATGCTGGTACCAACAGCTCATGTCTGTAATTCTAGCTACTCAGAGGCTAAGATCTGAGGATAGTGGTTCAAAGCCAGCATGGGCATGAGATTCTCATCTTCAATTAACCACCAGAAAACTGGAAATGGCACTGTGGCTCAAAGTGGTAGAGCCCTATCCTTGAGTAGAAAAGCCCAGGAATAGCATTTAGGCACTGAGTTCAAGCCTCACAATTGACAAAATGCTGGATGCCTGAATGAAAAAAATTGAGGCTCCAAAAATATAAGACTTCCATACCTATAAATTGTTGTTACATTTTTTAATACTTCTGACATTTTTAATTTAGAAGCGTGATAAGCACAAGATGAATAAAAATGCAATTAAAAGACATTTAAGCTGGGTGCTGATGGCTCATGCCTATAGTCATAGCTACTCAAAAGGCTGAGTTTGTAGTTTGAACGAAGCCCAGGCAAGAAAATTCATAAGACTCTTATCTCAAATTAACCATCAAAGAAAAGCTGGAAGTGGAGCTGTGGCGAGCTGGTAGAACACTAGCCTTAAGCAAAAAAACTCAGAGACAGCACCCAAGCCCTGAGTTCAAGGCCCAAGATTGCCAAGGAGGAAGAAGGGGAAAGGAGAAAGGGACAGGGGGAAAAGGAACAGGAGAATAAGGAAAGGGAAAAGAGAAAAGGGAAAAAAAGAAGGGAGAGGGAAAAAAAAACATTTAAGCTGAAGGAGTACTTCTCAATTATTTAATTGGTTGCCAATTTAGAGGCACCAGCCAGTCATAGTGACACACATCTTTAATTCTAGCTACCTGGGAGGCTGAAGGAGAATAGAGCTCCAAGGTCAGCCTTGGTGAAAAGTTCAAGAGGCAACTTTTCAACCAATTCCAGGATATGGTGGTATATTACTGTCATCCCAGCTACATGGGAGACTGAGACTGAAGAATTCTGATTAATTAAGAAAAAAAACAGTTCATCACAAGCATCCATTTCGCAATGGAATAAGCTGGGCATGGTGGCATGTACCTGTTACCCTAGCTTCACTGCAAGAAGGTCAGGTCTAGTTGCAGGCCCAGGCAAAAATTGTAAAGTGAGCCCTTTCAAAATAAACAGTGCAAAAATGCCTGGAGGTAAGGCTCAGTGGGTGAGTCTCCTTAATAAGTCCCTGAATTCAGACCTAGAGAAAGAGACAGAGACAGACTGACAGAGACACAGAGATATAGAGACAGAGCATACCAGGTATTAGTGTATAATGGATATTTGTACCTTATAATTCATGAAAAGCCTTACCTGCTCAGAAACAAGAGTCTGTAGCTTCTGTACTTCTAATTTTAATGTTTTGTTTTGGTCATTTAGAATCTAAGGGAGAAAAATCCATTTTTATTAAGGAAAGAGAGATAATAGATTTACATACTTATAATGTGACAGGCCAATAACACATTGATACAAAACTTTAATCCCACTGGACACTGGGACACTGGGATGTTCCCTGTTGCAGCAACAGATGCTCAATAGTGGAGACAAAAAAGTCGCCAATGAAAAATCTGTCAAAAATGGTTCGAGTAAACTAAATTATGAAAGTCTATTACAGAACAGGCAAGAAGGCTATGATAAAATTTACTATTTATCTAAGACTCCCATATTCACCTTGGAAACATGTTACAAAATATTTCTAGGTTCAGTACAAATGAAAGTTTATAGTATTGCTTAGAAACACTAAGCAGACAAGTTCAGTTACACACCTTAAATTCTTCCATTTTGTTTGAAATCTCACATTGTAGCTGTTCTTCAAGCAATCTTATTTTATCATCTTTAATGTGAATACTATGAGGAAAAAAATACCAATTAAAACTACTTTAGACACTCAGAAGTTTACATGGAAGCTAAGTATACAACTATCAGTTATAGGATAGTACTTTCTACCAAAATTACACTAGAACATCAATATATGAGTGCCTGTATATATCATAGTTTAGTTACCTTTTTTGAATCTTCTCCAACTCATGTGCAGTTGCAGCCTGCATTTGGAATAAAATAAGAATTTTATTTCAGGTGGGTTGGGAGGGATGGGAGAATACTGAAAGGGGTAATACTGATTAAGATGCATTGTATTTATAAACTGCTTTGTAAAATAGCAACTCCTCTTTGTACAAGGACTTAATGATAATAAAATTTTTAAAATTCAAAAAAGAAACATCAAAAAAATTAGCTCAAAGTAAATGTTCAATACTATGCTCTCACTTATTTTTACATATTACATTTCCATGCATTTTCAAGTTATAGCAATATCATACATTCTGTATTTTGCTGCCAAATATTTTAGTCACTTTTTATCCTAATAAAAGGTTTGTCCTTCTTAGAAAACTTGGCAGAAAGCTAAAGAAGCTAGTTCACTAGACTCTTTTTTAAAATGGATTCATGGTATTTCACAATTAATTCATTGAACCAAACATTACATGAAATAGAAACAGAAGATACTTTCAGAAACATATCCCACAGAAAGAAAAACAGAAGTAACCATTATCATTATTAATTTCACAAACAAAACTAGGGCTCAAGCATCAATCAAAATAATAACAAATTAAAAGTCTGAGGTAAATGCTCTAAAGCAAATCTACCTGTTCATTTGTCAGGGCCTGTAATTTCTGCACTTCGGCTTTTAATAAAAAATTCATATTTTGTATATTCTAGAGTAAGAAAAAAACAGAAAATTTTAATAGACTTGAAAATTTAGAAAACATCTTGTTCTACGTAAGAATTAAGCAAACATCTCAAATTACAAATTTCCTAAGTCAGAAAGAGGAACATCAATTTCCTAAATTATATGAATCACACCATGTGATTAAAGCTCTTTGAATTTTTCCTTAGCACTAAAGATTTTATAATTTGGAAGAGATATGGACACTTTTCAAATGAGTTCCAGAATTCTTCATATAAACTCATACTGACTAAAAATCAGAATTCAATTCTGAGTTCTATAAAATATTGTAGCTATTTACAAGAATTACTGTACCTTAAGCTCCTCCTCTTTACTTGTTAAGTGATCATGTTCATTTGCTAAAGAATCTTCAGTCTGTTTTATCTGCTTATCCTTTTCTGCAATCCTTTAAGAGGAAACATATTGATGCTTTCAATAAACATTTTACAAACTTATGAACCAACTAATATCATATCATAAGTCAAAGATCAAAGAATTAAAAGCCTTAAAGTCATCCTTACTTAAGTAGTTCTAATATAGACTATTTCTATAGTCCCTTTTCATGTTATTAATAATTGCCATAAGCACTACCATAACTCCTTAAGTATATACACCTCATTTTAAAACTGAAGGTGAAAGAAGTGAATTTTTTTAATTTTTTTATTTTTTTACAAAGAAGTGAATTAACATAAGCTCACAAGTCTAGAAATTTCAAATCTTCTCAACTAAAATGATTCAAATCTATGTAAAATTAATATTAGTACAATGAACAAACAATTTTAAGTATACATAGCTAGAAAGAGTGGATATACCTCCCATCAGAAACAGAAACTAATTTGTTTCTACTACTCTCAAAACACAATTACCTTTTCCACATAATTGCCAACACTCCAAATAAAGCAAAATTTCCCCAATTTTTTTTAATGAGAAAGCTATCAAAACATAAAGCATAATGTTTAGAGAACATACTACAGAAGAGAAATTTTAAAAAGCAAAAGTTCTACAAATCTAATTCAGAGTATTTATCAAATAGGTTAAAGTACAAAGCTAATCTTAAGTGTTGTATCTAACAAGTATCTGTTAGTGATGACTAAACAATTATTAAGAGAAGTGTGAAAAGGCAGGCTTACACTTTATGTAATTCTTCTGCTAGAACTGAAGCAGAGGTCTAAGAAATAAAAACATTAACATAAAAGGATGAGAGAAAGCTTAAACACTGTACATAATCATCACAATAGAGCTTTAAAAACTAAGAAAAAGTAATACATATAAAGTTGTTAAGGAAGTATCTAGCCAATGATGAGTGTTTAATACAGAATAACTATCACTCTGAAATTAAGTTTGATCACCAACAACCAGTGTTAGGGAATTATATACCACAAGACTTTTAGAACAAATCGCCAGGCCTGGAACAGCTGATAAGCAACAAATATATAGGAAAAAGTAACCACAACAGTCATTTTGCATTCCTGTGCTTCTTTTCCTTATAATCCACTTCATAATTAAGCTAATTAAGTATGGTGATACTCAGACTCATCTTTCCTTTTACTTTGTGAAAGCTATTTATAGCATTCTCTAAGTAACTTCTGATATATTTTCTACAGCTACCTCTCAAATAACTAAACATCTTGATCCAATTTGAGTTGGTAATTTACATGTATATACAACTTGCTCCTTTTCCTAAATGTTCTTTTCAACTCATTTTGGGCCATTGTCTCTACAAATAAATTACATGTTCAAAGCTTTTGAGTTTGAACTTGTGTGAATCCCAATAATAAGTTTTTAATGTTAAAACCACTTTCACACAGAAAAGTCAACCTTTTAATCTAGTATTTTTGCTATAAGCAACATTTACAATTTAGAAGTTAAATTAAAATTTATGGTATGTATATTATGGAATCAAGAACTTGGAAGTTCTCATTCTTTTTTTCTTAATGCTAGATCATTTGCATTCTAAAGTCTTTCTATCAATAAATAATGTTGCTGAAGAACAATGTCTTAATAATACCATTTTTTTAACTTTGGAGCACTTACCACTAATTTGAAACAGATTCTTTTGCAAATATAATGAAAACTATAGTTAACTCACTACTAGCTCTGTAGTACATGAGCTTGTTTTGTCCCCATGTTAGTCAGTATTTTATGAATACCTTTAATACATAAGCCATTGTTCTAGATACCACTTGATTAATTCTTCTTATTTTATTTTATTTTTTTTTTTTTTTTTTTTTGGGTCCGGTCGTGGGGCCTGAACTCTGGGCCTGGGCGCTTCCCTCACCTCTTCAGCTCAAGGCTAGCGCTCTACCACTTGAGCCACAGCGCCACTTCCGGCTTTTTCTGCTTATGTGGTGCTGAGGAATCGAACCCAGGGCCCAAGCAAGCAAAGCAAGCACTCTACCACTGAGTTACCTTCCCAGCCCCAATTCCTCTTATTTTATAAAAGGCTTGTGGACATAGTGTCCTCACATCATAAGAGCTCTATAATACTCTTCCCTTTCCAATTAATTAATGTTAAGTTTCTCTGAGTTTTCCCATAGCATTATGCTTTTAATACTCAATGTTTGGAACTCAGGATCATCTTTCATTGATTCAATAACTAGCCTAGTCCAGTGCCAGTTAAATGACTGTTTAAATGGCTGAGAAGCCATCATTAACAATAAGCAATTCTAAAAAGGCATTACCTGAGCTGCTATCTGGGAATGGAATTGCTGAATTTGAGCTTTCAAAGCTTCATTCTGCTCCAAAATATCCTATAAATAACAGCCAAAGAGAAGGGAAAGAGTGTGCTATTAATAAATATCCCAATGACTACAAGAAAAATTACTTGCCAGCTTATTTAAGGCATCTTTAGATTTTTTTTATTTAACATAATGATTAAAGTTGGGTGTCGATGGCTTACACTACATAGTTTAAAGTCAGCCAGGACAAAAAAAGTTCCTAGGGCCCCTTTCTCCAGAAGCATAAATAGGCAGACTGTTGTCTAGACATGTATCCAGGCAGAACACAAGACCCTATATCTCAAAAATAACCAGGGCAATAAAAGGTCTGAAGATGTAGCTCAGCAGCAGAGCAAGTATTAGGCCCTGAGTTCAAGTGGAAAAAAAGACAATGGTTAAGCATTTACTCTAAGTTAATTTATAAGGTACATTTTTGCTGTTCTTACAAAGAGTCTGAAATTGTGGATAACCACATCTTTAAAAACAACATACTGGGTAAGATTAAGTGTTACCATCAATCCAGAATTGGGAATAAAGTAATTTTATTCTCGCTTCTAGATACCTAACATTTAATCTTTACTTTCATAAAAGTAAAAATGATACCTGAACTTGCATTTGTAGAGACTCTTCTTTGTTCACTCTTTTTTGCTCTGATTCCATTAGCTGCATTAGTCTTTGCTCCAACTGTTGCTTTGATACCAAGGTATCTGTAAGCTTGCTATGCAGACTCTGCACTTCATTTTCTTTGGCCACAAATTTACTCTGCAAATCTGCAGCAAAATATGACATCTTACAAAGGACTCTTCATTCCTTTTCTAGGAATCATCTCCTCTAGAAAACTTCATAGTGTCTACCCCACTTCCTTTTGCTTTTATCATATCATATTGCATTAATTCATGTATTTTGCTAGCATAAGCTTCTTAAGCCCAGAGATTACTTTTATGTATATCCACAACTATACTCAAAGGTGGGCATACATCATATACTGAATGGTGCACAAACTTTTTAAACCTATTATATGATGTCCTAGTCCTATTTTTTATTTCCCCAATGTTACTTTTTTTAATTTTATTGTAAGGATGCTGTACAGAGGGGTTATAGTTATATCAATAAGGTAATGAGTACATTTCTTATGGAGCACTGTTACCCTCTCTTTTGTTTTTCTCCTATTATCCCTTCCCTCCCCCGTTTCTTCCCCCAGTCCCCTCACCCCCGCAAGTATAAAGTTCATTTCCAACATAGGGTCTTGTGAATATCATTGTTGCAATGGGTCATCCTGTGTCCTTGTTTCAGCATTTTATTATTCCCCTTCCCTCAATGTTATTTTAATAAAACTATTCCAATGAGTGCCTTCTAAATTCTGTGAACTCGGATACCTTAAAATGCCTTGTATTTTGCTACAAAGAAAAATCCTGAAGAAATCTATTGTCTGAAGGCTGGCAAATGTCCTGATTTAAAATGATAGATAACTTTTCTGTCATTTCACAGAGAGAACTATAAAAGAACTAGGAAAATGAGAAATATGAACTACTTTTATTTCATTTCACAAAAGACAAAGTAAATGTTAAAACAATCTCTAACTTAGTAGAGTAGAGGAACAACTACCAAAAAAAAATTTATAAAGCTCTAAAACCAAGAAAGGCTAATGACAGGAGATACCAGATATTAGGAGAGCTGCTTCCCTGGCCCATACCATCAACAAGTTAAAAAGCAGAGTGTTAGGGAAACCACTACTACAACCATGGATAAAAAGATATATGTATGCAATTCTATCTCTATTTTTGAAGAAAGACAAAAGGAACAAAACTAAAATGTAACTTAAAACTTAAACACATAGTGGTCATATTTGGGATAAAGGGCAGAACACAGAACTGAGAACATAATTTCAAACTACTAAGAATAAAAGTTAAAAAATGGAAGTAATGCCTTCAAAATTTTGTAGAGAAAATTATTTTCAACTTAAGACTTAACATCCAGTAAATATACCAGCTACATCTTGAAAGGAGAATAAAAATGTTTTTAGTTATGTGGGGCCTCTACGTATTTCTCAGCATACTCTCAAGCAAAAAAAAAAAAAAGTACTTTACTAAATGAAGGAGAAAAACAAGAAAGACAAGCATAACAAAAGATCCAGAAAAAAAGGTAGAAAGACAAAAGTAATCTCAAGAGAAGACAACTATGGAGCCAATCTAAGTACTAAATAGAACAAGAAAACTAAAGACTGAACAAAGAATATAAGCCAGGAAAAAAATTGTGAGTTTCTAAAAGTTAATATGTTGAACAACATAAGGATGAGAGATGGGCTGAGTTGGGTGGGTTAGACTGGGTGTAAAGGTTAAGAGAAGTTTAATCATAGATAAAAGTAACTTTTAAGTAGGCAATAAAGCAATAATTAGGTCCAGAAAATAAACAGCTGCTAAAGGAAAGAATCAGTTTTACATATAGCTTGGCTCAGCATTCTACTATACATAATGTATAATCAATATTGACAATCAAAAAACATACATTAACAATTCAGACCAATGACAAACAGGAGAAGACAAACAGGAAGGAGAAATGATGTGGGAAGTAAGTCCTCATTTTCTCCAATAGATAATCAGATTTCTATTAAGAGAGACCAGTGTAGGTACTGACATGTTTGCTTAGAAACAGGAAGATAAAACACTAAAACCAAAAGGGAAAATTTGAAATGTTACAGCTAGTAAGTGACTTTATTTTCAACAGTTATATCACTTATAGTTTTAATCCTTTTAGTGAGATTTCTGTGCTTCACTGGTGGGACATAAAATATGAAATATTAGCCTAAAAAAAAAGAAAAAAGGCATGGTACAGGTGGCTCAAACCCATAATCCTAGCTACTCAAGAGGCTAAGATCTGAAGATCACTATTCAAAGCCAGTCTGGGCAGAAATCTGTGAGATGAGAGTCTCATCTCCAATTAACCAGGAAAAGCTGCAAGTGGAACTGTGCCAAGTGGTAGGGCATTAGCCTTGAGCAAAGAGCTCAAGAACAGTGCATAATCCCTGAGTTCAAGCCCCGGGACTAGAACAAAAAAAGAGAAATGGGCCTTTACATATCTTCTGTACACTTAAACATTAAGCAGATAGTTATTCTAGAGATAGAGGATTCAGACAAAATCAAAAGTCTATTGAGACAAAAATTCTATCTAATTATTTGGAACTCCCTCTTTTATGGAAGAAAGAGAATAGTGGAGACATAAATAACATATAGAACACAAGCTCCATTATCTCCAAGATGGATCCTTCAAATTATGAATAGTAAAGAGTAGAAGTTAAGGTTTTTTAAATAGCTCAATAAAACTGCTTGAGGTAATCTTCTCACTACTATTCTCCTCATAACTCAAGACCTAGGCACTGTCCTTGAGCTCTTTTACTCAAAGCCACCACTCTACCACTTTGAGCCATAGCACCACTTCCAGTTTTCTGGAGGTTACTGCAGATTAGAATCTCATGACATTTCCTGCTCAGGCTGGCTTTGAACCATGATGCTCAGGATCTAAGCCTCCTGAGTAGCTAGAATTGCAGGTGTGAGCCACCAATGCCCAGCTTATGAATCTTTTCTTAGAAACAAAAAGTGAAAAGAAGAGTTAGATCAAGGAAGCCAAAGGAGGAAACTACAGGAAAAAAAAAACAAACTTTTTTTGTCAGTCATGGGGCTTGAACTCTGGGCCAATGCATTGTTCCTCAGCTCTTCAGCTTGAGGCAAGCACGCTACCACTTGAGTCACAGTGCCACTTCCAAAAAAAATTTTTTAATAGGTTTTAATAGCTTTTAAACAGTCTTCTATTTCCATAATGTGTTCTGAAATTTTGCCTACAACTTGATGTTTTAGGCTAAACTAGTAGATTTTAAAAGCTATTTTTTACTGAGGTAGAAGAAACCAAAATGCCAAATATCCTCTTCCTCACAGATGGATAAAACATTGCATGCATAGTTGACATTAATGTCCTGTACCTTACCTTGCTGTGCTGCCTCATGCTCTGCTGTTCGTTTCCTAATGTAGCTTTGAACTTCATCCCATCTCCTCTCAGCTTCTTGTAATTGAACCTTGATATTTAAGATGAGAGAAGGATAAATCCTCACCAATACAAGACTTCAACAAGGCATTTTCTACTTGTATCATTTACAACAATTTATCTTCTACATTTTAATAAAACATAATGTTCATAATCTGCCAGCCAGAAGTGCAGCTGTGGCTCAAGTTGCCTTGAGCAATAAAGATCACAGACAGTGCTCCAGTCCCTGAGTTCAAGCCCTAGAACCAGCACCAAAGAGAGAGAGCAGAGGGAGGGGGAAAAAATGGGGGGAGAAGAGGAGGGAGGAGGAGAGGGGGAGGTGGGAGGAGGAGGGAGGGACGAAGGAAGGAAAGA